AAAACTCTCTAATGGCTCGTGGAATTACCGTGAGATTATTGGTTAGCTTGTTGTTCATGATTGTCATGCATGTCGTATCGTTATACATCAATATTTAGTACAGTTTAATCAGTTTTTCAATATTCATTTTGCTTTACGACTGATCAATTAGACTGATCGCCGGAACTTGGATTTGAGAGCTCGTACTTCGCAGTCTGAAAGAGGGAGTTTTGTTGCCATGGTGATGTGCTTACCGTCAGACTATGAACAGAAAAACAGCGCCTATGATTGCAATACAAATATATCATAAAGAAAAGAGAGTAGAATTTTGGTCAATTTAGTCTTTTCATTTAATTATTTTCCTTCATGTTCGTTTTATTATGAGTTATTTATTTTGTGGAGAAAACAGAGCAAATAAAGCAGGAACAGGTTCGGGGAATAATAGTTGACGTAGCGGTCGTTAATTGATGTCTGACATGAGTTGCTTTGCAATGAAGAAAAGAAACAGAGAGAAATAGAGAGAAAAAGGAAGAATCAAAGGAAGAAAAGAGAGAGAAAGGAAGGAAGGAAGGAATAAATAAATAAAGAAAAATGACTATTTAAGAAAGAATAAAAAGAAAAAAAGAAAAAAAGAAAAAATAAAAAAATAAAAAAAATAAAAATAAAAAAAAGAAGAAGGAAAAGAAAAAGGAAAAAAGACAGAAGACAAAACAATAAATGGAAAGGAAAAATGAAGACTACGGTGACAGAGAACTAAAAGAGTTGATGGCTCATCATGATAAAGGAGAAGGAAGAAACTTGAATACCGTTAATCCTTATAAATCACAATCAATGGTTATCCACAAGTGTGATTAGCTGAGTACACGACGTCATCTCCGCCGCATTATGCCCTGCAGCTACTGCAAAACACCAGATGGTTGTTTGAATTGAACATTATTTGGAAATGTAGATATTTGGTTTATTTTTGGCTCACAAAAAAAGAACAGAACAAAACGGAACAGAACCGAAAATTAAGAAAAGAGAAAACTGAAACAAAACAAAACAAAAACAAAAAAACAAACAAAAAAAACAAACAAAAAACAAAAAACAACAACAACAAAAACAACAACAAAAACGAAGGGAAGAGAGAACCGTCCTTTTAATTTTTCGAGGAAGAAATAAAAAGCAAAGACACATGTCCAAGTGTTTGGATAAGTCCTTATCCAGTGGATAAGGCGATGCTGTTTTCCAATAACTTTATCCACTGGATAAGATTTATCCATCGGATAGCGCTATCCAGGCTTCGTACAACCGGGTTGTCTTGATGGTTGTCAAGAATAGATATCGATAGAAATCATCATCATCATCATCATCACTATCATCATCATCATCATCACATCATCATCATCACTGACTATCATCATCATCATCATCACTATCATCATCATCATCATCACTATCATCATCATTATCACTATCATCACCATCATCATCACTATCATCATCATCATCATCACTATCATCATCATCACTATCATCATCATCATCATCATCATCATTATCTTCTTCTTCATCTGTAGATGTAGATGGAAACATAAACAATACTCCATTTTCGAGTTCTCTTTCAGTGCTCAGCTTTAGTCTCAGTTGTTCGTTAAAATATTCAACTATTCAACCAAAACCCGTAGCATTTTTATCAACTCGTATTGTTCCGTTGTGCATACATTCCTTACTATACAATGGACCTACAATCGAGGCTAAAGGCGCGATTACGACGAGCAATTTTATCCGCAACTTGTGTCGCAACGGCGTTGCGCACACAAGTTGCATGGAGCATTGCAGCGTGTAAACTACAGCGCAATTAGAAAAATGTTGCGAGACAAGTTGCAGCAATCGTTGCGAAAAGTAGAATTCTTTTCTACTTTTGGCAATTATTGCGTCTTTGTTGCACCGTGTAGACGCTCTTGCAACTTGTGTCACAACACTGTTGAGAGACAAGTTGCCTAGGAAATTGCTCCGTGTAATCGAGCATTAAGACTGAGCAAAGGCCAACTCGAAATGGGATTATTAATCAGAAAAATGATGTGATATACTAGTACTAGATCGGGCATTTATTACTATACAGAAAACTCTTGCGCGGGTTATATATTTATTTGAAATGATAATAAGAAAGCCAATCGGTGTTTATTTTATAATGGGTCTACTTTGACTCTCGATTCAATGACCAATTTATTCACATTATAGTGCGAAAGGAAATATAAGAGGTTAACCTATCGAGAATGTCTCATAACATCAAATTAGAATTTAACAGTTGATTTTTGCGGAGGGAGGAAAACCGGAGAACCAGGAAAACACTCGAAGGAAAACGATGAAAAGAATCGAATCAATGACTTCGCAAGACAAACAAAAAAACTCTTCTTAATAACTTTTCTCGAATTCACTTTACCAAAACACGTATCACCTGTCCAGAAATGAGCGTAATGTCAACAGAAATATATCACTTGGATTGACGCGTTTGCTATCCAATAGCAGTCTTCTCATAGTAAAGTTTTATATATTTTCTTTGCTCGAAATTTATTGCTTTTAATTTTATCGAGAATACATCGATTGGTGTAATCTGTAGCGAAAGGGTAGGAAGATCGCACCTTGGTGGAAACTTTAACTACCTTATTCCAGGTAAAACGATTGATTTCTATGGCATTATTTGTAATTATTCTTTTACATTTTTGGTGTCGTGAGTTGCGGGCCTTTTCGTAACAAAATATGATGAAAACGAAAGTAAAAGTTTGATGTCAAAAAAAAAAAAAAGCTAACGTTTTCAAACATGCTATCTTTTTCCTATGCATCTGGGAAGCATGACTGGTGTGCGTTACTACTAAAGATGCGCTACCTCTCTAGATATTAGTCGCCACTTTAGTCGGTTCGATGCCAGGACCGATCATTATGTGCAATGTTCCAGTTGTTTGTCGGTTCTCCGAGTCCTGTTCTTTAGGAAATTTTATCCGATTTTTCTCCTTTCAAAAAACCACCTTTTAAGTTCAATTTTGCCATGAGTGTTATTGTCATTAGACCGAGCAATCATTCCAATCCTTTATGATCAAAACTATCACAACTCGCTTCTTACATTTTTTTTTTTTCGTATATACTTATGAAGCACGGTTTATGTAGAATTGAGAGCGTTCGTTCCTTTCTGATGCGACTCGCGTCAAGGGAGGGTATAACGAAGCAAGACGGGCCGTTTAGAGTTGAGAGCGCTCGTTTATTATCAATGCGCGCGACTCGCGCGCGATCGACCAAGGATCGATTCTCAACTCCATGTCATATGTGGCTCGCTCCTGTGCTTTGGGGGTTTCAGTTAACGGTTCTCCATTTTTTTCTCCCTATGCAAATATCAACTTCTAAATTCCAATTCAATTAAGTGGAAGAAGATTCACTCAGGTTATCTTATTATATTTTCTAAGGCCCTCCAGATAAAAAAAAAAAGGACACCTGTATGGCGTTCTTCGTACAATAAATCATTTAGCAAAGTCTGTAGACAATATACCTTAAATTCTTTTTTAAAAAACTGATTTACAGCCGGACTATCTTGCGACAAATATTATTGTCAATGTTGAACTGTATTTTAAAAAAGGCCTCCCTCCTAGCTCTTACTTAATGTCAGTAGTAATAGCGATCCTTAGTACCTTCTTTTAAAAGTCATTTTATATCATCATACGTTAATGGTTTACGAGAAATATATTTTCCCTCGATGGCCAATAATTAAGGCAAGTCCTTCATTTCTAGTACCACTATAATCAAGAAGCATTTTATCAAGTAGCTTTCTTTTCCAGTTCGTTTGGTTATTCTACGTCGGTAAACATCTCATATCCTTTGCCGCTTACGAATGTCATCAATATTAATGGTACACTTGGTAAAAGAACAACAACAGACACACAGTTTTTTATTATTTACAGTGTGTTCCTTTACGAAATGTTGACTTTTCAAAGTTAGTGCAAGAAACTTATTCTAGATTAACTTTTCTCGTTCTGCGACCAACAGGATTAGTGTTGTTAGTCTTGTTCCCCAGTAACCCGGCCTTCGTTACTGGGAAACCAGACAAGCTATCGAAACACCTTTCAATAACACCTTTCTAAAGGCTATTCAGTGTTGTTTGTCGCAAAACCTTCTACTTGCAAATTGGGGCAAAATAGATGAATTAATAGATGTTCATATAGACTTTTTATTTACTCGTGTAAAGACGTCTTTACGTTTGGCGTAATATTTTTTCCCAATTTCAGACCACGTGTCATTCTCTTGAAAATAAGATTCTTTGTTTGATTTGTATTAACATTCATATGACTTCTCAAGCACAACCGTTAAGTAAAACAAAGAAATGATACTCTAGGGAATGACACTCTCTTACCAAGGTGAAGCTGTGGCATATTAATAAAACACTTCCGTAACACATGAAGCGGTTCTTTTTGTAGTCGCGGCAAAGAACGCTAAACACCTTTATAATAGCTGCGTGGCGATATGGCATCGAGGTGGTCCTCTATTTATACTATATCAAACAAACTTTAGTTGCCCCATTTCACTATGACATAACATCAAAAAAATCTATTGTTTTAACGCTAAGGATAATGGTCGCTAGAGGGGTAATAGCAGCAACACAAAATGAAACCACGATAACATTTGGCTTATAAAATGGTGAAACTCTAACAGCTAAATGTTCCCTAAATATCCTGAACGAAAGAACAGTTAGCCTAAATTTCAATTATTCTTGCGCATATAAATAAACTGTGACGTTATTATGAAATATAGGTCATAATCATATAAAATAATATTTTACCATTCAACTATTCACTTCATGTAGAACCAATTAATGTTTTTCACAGCCGCCATGTTGGATGAAACTAACAAAAAAATCGTCATCATCCAACATGGCGGCCGTGTCTTTTGTTATTGCATTCTCTTGGAAATGATTGAAAGCCACCAATGCTGATGAAATATTGAGATATATTCTGCTGATTAAAGATTAAACTTGCCGTGGTTTTTTGTTACAGGACGGATTTTCTGCACTACATTACGCTGCTCTGTCTTTCTCAGATTCAGCTGTACGTTTTCTTCTCACTAAAAAAGCAAGTACTTTATCAGCAGAAAAGGTACGGATGTATTAGATTTAGAATTCGCTCCTCATTCCACTAAGTTACTAAAGATGGCAACAGAGGATTTGCACCATCACGTGCCGACACCATAATACAGCTTGGGCTGCCTGTGGTTAGATGACAGAACAATGAAATCCCTTTGCTAGTCTCGGGAATTGATTTCTTTCTCGTGTAAAACGATTGTATTGTTCATGCCATCTAATATGGCAGCCGTCACGCGATGGTGCAAAACCACTATTGTATAGCCTAAATTAACGTGTCTGACTAAATGAAAACCTATTCTCTACATAGCGTAGTCCACTCCATCAGATTAGTTTTTTATTTATTCATTAATGATAACAATCTTTATTAAGGGAAGCTCTTTCACAAAAGTCATTTTCAAAGATGCCCTAAAATTCTCAGACTATAATGGTTATGTATCCATCCTAAACGTTATATAATTATGTTTACAGGAATTAGGCAGAATTCCTCTTCATTTGGCTTGCTCAAAACCCCCTGGGAATCCTGCCACTACAGAAATTGTGAAAGCACTTGTGAGGACTTCAGGGAAAGAAGCAAGAGTCATGATAGATAAGGTAAGATGTGAAATAAAGCGAACAAATGTTCTCAATGATGTAACCTCCACCTGAAACGATTAGAATTCTGGACTAAAATTCCTTTGATGAAGAAAATTAAAAAAAACTTATGCCTTTCGTTTTGGACCCGGAAGTCGTTTTTCAATACGAGTGACATCACACTTTTAAATATAACGTTCCGGGAGTGGGGGTTGGGGAGGGGAGTATGGAGACTAAACCAACCCCTAAACGACTTTGAAAACGATGACGTTCGTTTTCATCTTATGTATTAGTTTTGATAAGAAAATTGAAATGTTATAAGAAAAATGTGTTGTTCTATGTGACACTAGTAGAAATACCTTTTGCGAGTGAACGATGATATTTTTTATGGTTTATTATGATGGAGTTCCTGTGGTTTTGGCGGGAATGAATGCGCGCGCTCACTCTCTGCCCCCCGAAACACTCGTACGTATGCTTGTGTATTCCTGTTTATACCTGTTTATACCTGTTTGGATTAGAGTTTGCGTGACTGGCATTCACAGTTATAAAATGATTAAATAATGGCTTCATGATTATTTATAAGTAATAATTACGTAATAATTAATCTCATTTTCCTCGGAGTTTGTTTCTTAATACTTTGTTACTTGTGGGATGGGCTAACCTCATACTGTATACTAATGAAGTCAAATTCCTCTAAATTGTCCTGGAAGGAGTTAGCATTTGAGCTGGATGGCTTAACGACATCAAAATCCAGTTTAAATATCTCGTTGTAGGCCAAAAGCTCACCAGTTGTGCAGGAAAGACCGCTAGAAAAGTTAGCTGAACATTTCTTGGTGATTTGAGATGATTCGGTTGATAAATAAGTCAAAAATAAAAAGATTTGGAGAGAGCAAACGCTTGCACGTCTACCTCCCATGTTAATTTATGCACAGAAATATGTAGGATACTCACATAACTAGTAACCATTAGTCATTATCAGTTTACTTCACGTGAGCTTGGTATGATTGGCAACGTAATTCTTTGATTTGCTCATTATTGTATTTACGTAATCAAAACAAGATGGCTTGGAGTTGTTTATTTAGCTTATTATTTCTTTGATATTCATGATTTTTACCAATTCCAAGGGAACAAGCTTTAGTAACAGGACACAAATTTTGCTGAAACCGTTTGGGAAAAATGATAAGGATCTTTTAATTTGTAAAAAACCCGCTATTGTTGTGCTAATTAACTGTGTCTCTCTGGAAAGAGCTGGGGATTCTATGAGTAGAATAGAATTTGAATAGGTGGGTGACTTGAACCTTACACAAAATCACTGGGGTTTCTAAAGATACGTCAATAGATTTTGTTTGCAATCCTCGGTCTTACAACAAACTAGTGCCCTGAGTATCCTACATATTTCTGTTAATGACGTTTACTTCAAATGGTTTGTGATCATTCCTATGGGAATAAGAATGGCAGCCATGTTGGATGATGTTCACTATAGGTGGTTTGTAATCATTCCTAAGCAGGGGCGGATCCAGGAATTTGTTCAGGGAGGGGTGCAGCGCACATAGTTAACCCAGGGAGGGGTGCACCCTTTAGAATCAAAGGGGAAAAACATTATTTTGTATTGGTTAAATCTTTGAAGTAGGGGTACAAAGTCGAACCAGGGAGGGGTGCGCACCCCCTGCACCCCTCCCCTGGATACGCCACTGCTAAGGGAATATGAATGGCAGCCATGTTGGGTGATGTTCACTATAGTTCATTCGTTATTTTTATCTTTTCATTATCTTGTGGTTAGAAAGTCAATTGTGATTGACTAAAGAACAATAGAATATTGTCGGGATATTTCAAAGTGCCCATAGTTTTTTGGTTAGCACTGTAAAGTGTAACGTAGATCGATCAGATCACACCAGGCTTTTTGTTTCAAGTCAGTTTGATAAAATCAGAAATAAAGTTAAACAACTGGATAATGTACAGAAATTGCAAAAAAACTTTTTCGAATCCGTAAAATTCCGCTGTGTTTCTTGACTACAGATTAATTTTCTCAGGGTTAGCCTCGATTTTGTGCAGAATATTAATGTTTCCAGTACTTCAAAGTGTTTGTATTGTCGAAGTTGTACATTCTTTTAAAAAATTTACCATTGATATTCTTGAATATTCGTTCTGAACCTGAAATTAGGCTAACCTCGGTAAATGAATCTGTAGTCAATGAACACAGCGGCATTTTACGAATTTGAAAAAGATCTATTAGGAAGAACAAAAATAACAGCGCGCAAAAACAGAAATAACGAAAACGAAGCAAGCAAACAAACGAAAAAACCCCACAAACTAAGCCATTTTTGTCGCTGTGTACCTCTGTGGCCTGTTTTATTTCCTACATATCACTTCTTCAATAATTTTAATTAAGCTTCAATATTTTTAATTAAGCAGTAGGAACAGCGCCTCCTTTTATTGTTTTTAAGAGTTATTTCAATCAAGTTTTTATAACCTTTAATTGCTTTGACTGAAAATTTCTATTATTAGGCTTTAATTACTTTCCGAGCTCACAAAAATCGTTTGTTCGTTCTTTCGCATTAACTCTTCGAAAAGAAAAGTTAAACCACTCAAAAATATAAATGAACTACTTAAAGATTTCTAAAAAGCAAGAACTGGATTATGAACGCAAAGAAATTGCCTTTTGTTTGGTGCTGAGGATGTAGTTTTACTCCTTCCGTTCTGGAACAGGTGTTAAGACACAAGTTTAGCCTCTGATTGCTAGTGACTGCAATCAGCATATATTATTAGAATTCCTTATATTGTCACCTCTGAAAGATACGGTTAACGATAAATTTTTTTTTCACTGGATTTATTTCCAATAGAAAGTAATAATGTTTTTAGTGTAATGATTGTAATAAGTTTTTATCACGTAAAACTTTTCAAATCTTCACAGGACAAAAGAGTAATTACCATCGCTGGAAAAAGCATATTAAAAATTAGTAAAACTATAAAGTTTGAAGGAAGTAAGTCTTTAAAAAAAATCTTTCAAAATCTTCTTAAAAATGGAAATATTGCATCACAAATCATGCGATATTTCGTTGTAGGCATCTCTTGCCTCTTACAAAATTTCGATTTTTGAAAAATCACATTTTCGCGAGTTTGAAATTTCCTCATGTTCTTTCCAGCTATGATCATAATTTTTTTGTTTTTCTAATTTAAAAATACCTGATAATAGCTCATTAGAGGAAGGTTGTACTACACGCTGTCAAATTTAGGCTACGGACTCAATTTATCTTGAATATTCATGGTATTTTTTTTGTTTGGAAATTGAAATAGTAATGAATTTCGTGATTCGTTGGTTACTCTTATTTATCTCACTTAAGAAAGCTTAAACTAAAATTGATTATGGGCAAAAAACTAATATCTCTGAAAAAATGAGAATGAAAAAGAATTTAGGATGAAAGAAATTTTTCTCGCTTGGAAAAGCTGAGCTTTTAATTTTTTCTTTTCAGAAAAGTATTTACAATTAGTTTTATTTAGCTTCCTCGACCTCCCTGCTTGCAGACCACTTTAAACAAAAGATGATGATGATGTCATTTTTTGCTGAATTATTTATGGTGGGAGATCAAGTACGTTTTTTAGAGTAGTTCTTGAATTTCTACAAGGAAGCCATTCATCTGCTGGCATGTCGAAATTTCGTTAAGTGCGAGTTATTCACTGAAGTTGAATTCAACTACAAGTAAAAGTTAACGTGATCCTAGTTTGGGAATGGCTGAGCATAGCACGGATTTGAACGGTTCAGAAACGGGCACCGATTTAACTGAAGTTGAAGATTACAGAAATGTTGATGAAGAGAACGAGGACTTCGAAGAGGTGAACGAACTAGTCTTTTACAGTTATGTAACGCTATTATCTCAGGGAACCTTTGTAATCATCTTTTTGGCTTTTATATCCTTGATATATCTCCTTTTCAGTTTTTAAACCTGCTTTCAGAAAGATAATAAGGATTCTTTGAAAGTTTGACGGACTCTCTGCAAAAGTTATTGGAAACAAAAACCAAATATTTTTCTTTCTATTTCTCTGTTAGTGGAACCGCAATAATAGATTAATTATTTTTAAAAATTCTTGCAATTCTCTTAATAATGTCAGTTAGCATATTGTTAAGTTTTCCAAAGAAATCAAGGAAATATTTTAGCAGAAAGATCGATTTCTTACTTCAACGCATTAACAATGTTGAATAATCTTAACGCCGATGGCTATTGTTCCACTAGACAGGTGATCGGGAAAGTTCCTTTGGTAGTCCAAGCTACTGCCTACGGCACTTTGAAACTTTCATGCTTCGCGAATCGGTTCTAATTTTTAAGCAGATGGTCTGTCTTTAACATATGAAAGCTTTCAGATCAGGCGGAGCACAATTTCAAGCGAAATGCCTTCAGAAGTTCTTTTCAAAGGGCTGGATAGAAAATCTCCATTAGTAACCAATCTTGACTTTTTTCTGTGTACTGACATACATCCATGGCTTTGTTTATTATGATAATCGCTTTATTCGAAGAAATTTCGATTCGATAGCTCTAAACCAAAATACAGCCAACTAGGGATTGTATTTAAGTACGCAAATATACGCTCAATTTTTAGATTCTACTGATGATTACATCGAATATGTGTGAGTACCACCAAAGCATTTTCATAGATGTCATTGAGCATTTTTTGTTAAAAACGAACAAGGTAGCAAAACTCTTCTTAAAAATAGCTAAAAGTATCTAGAAAAATCTATTCTACGAGCAATTTTTAATATATCTGTTCTCAACTACAGAGGCCAATAAGAATTAGACCAAGAACTTGGAAAATCATAACATTTGAACAAAATTCGAAGGCTTATCAGTTCAGCCTGATTGCCAAGGATTCGATTCTTCCATAACTTGCAAACGTCAATATAGGTCATACCTAAAAAAAAAAAAAAAAATGTAAGAAGCAGTTAGACGTTCGTAACCAAACCTGCAGACCTACAGATTAACCAATGAACAACGTTTAAAATGTAAAATATTGATACTAATGAATTATTGAAGACGCTCGTATTTCAGGCCCACAAATTGCATAGTTTAAGTCTAGCATTGATGAGAGTACCATCTATACATTATTTTCTTGGTATTAACCATTAACTAAAGCTACCGATATACGTTCGCTAACGAAGGAATTTTCGATAGTTTTTGTCATATTGTTAGTGCGACAGTTCAGTTTTGCTGCAACAAAATCTAATGAAATTGTTTTAAAAGCATTAGAAGGCATTACGTCTGACTTTTAAGTCTCTACCAATTCACTGGTCTCGACTTCCCTTAGTTACCGTTTCTATGTACCAAAAACTCAACAAATTAGCTAGAATGTCTCAGAATTTAAAACTCTGCCATTGCGAAAAATTGGTCATTATTTGATTCTGTTTTTTACTGTCCCGTGAATATAAGAGAAAAGTGTCTCTTAATCCTCGTAGTACTCTTTAAAACAAATACTGTGTAGTTGTTTGTGGGAGAAGACTTTAATCACACTGGGAAAACTACTGCAACGATGACTGGTTCGCTATTGTCTGAGTCGCAATCATGAATAGATATCTTTAGCTTGAGCTTAATGTTTTCCCATTTCAGACCATTTGCCTGATTCTCTAGAGATAAAATTCTTTGTTTGAGTTGCACCCGTTGAACGAAGAAATGATACTCTTTGGGATAACATGCGTTCTGAAATAATTACTCTCAAGCTAAAAGAGTCTAAAGCCCCGTTTACACTGGCGATATTTGCGGCGATTTTTGCTGCGATTTTTGTGGCAATTTTCGAAAACATGAAATCTTTTGTCTCATCCGTCAAAAGGGACATTCGTCTAGGAAAATCTTGGTATCCTGAAAAAAACTTTACAAGTAAATTCTTTACCATTATTTATTATGGAAAAAATCGCTGCAAAAATCGCTGCAAAAATCGCTAGTTTAAACGGGGCTTAAATGTGCTGTTGAAGGACAACTTCAAACAATTACAAAACGATTCTATTGTTTTCATGTCACTGCTAACTCTTTCTACGATGTGGACAAACAGAATATTTCATTCACTGCATTCCTAAATATTTAAACTGAACCATACAAAGTGTATATCCATCGTTTGTACGGAATTAACATTTTGTATTTCTTGTTGGTGTGGGTGTTTTTTAACAGCATGAATCTATCTTTCTTCATAGCGCCTGATTTGAAAATTCATATGTCATTGAATTTTCCAGCTTTTTGGAGGGAAAAATTTTTTAATCGCTATTCACCACCGAAAGTACAGCAGTGACGTATTAGCTCAACGGGGTCGAACAGGAAGAGCGCTTCTTTGTGTCTCTCAATATTCTATTTTTACTTTCAGTAGTAGCTATTTTTATTCTGTGCTTTTGTATGACGAAGTTTTTGTAACTCATTGTAGTTTTTCTACTTTTCTTTAACTAGCTTTATCCTAATATGGGAATGCGCTTTATTAGGGGGGCGCTGAGGGCCACAGCCATTTTTTGCCTCTAGCGTACTCGACTCTCACCTCTGGGGTCACAAATACAATCCTGGAATCAGTATTAAACATGAGCAGTTTTGTTGGATTTTTCCATTTATTCGAAGTTTTCTCCGACTTCTCCGGTTTTTCTCTCTCCGTAAAACCTAACAACTCGTGCCCTGATCTAGATCAGCCCAGGGGTAGTTTTAGGATTCGATTCGTGAGTTAGCCGTGCCTTGAACTAGATCATTTGTGAGTTAGCCATGCCTTGAACTAGATCATTTGTGAGTTAGCCGTGCCTTGAACTAGATCATTTGTGAGTTAGCCGTGCCTTGAACTAGATCAGCTCAGAGGTTGTTTCAAAATCGGGGCTCGATCAGTGAGTTTAACCGTGCCCTGACTTTGATCAGTCCAGAGGCTTTTTCATGTTATCAAAATATTTGTGAGTTTTAATTAATGCTCTTTTAATTCTTGAGATTCTCTTTCAGTCTTTCTCTATCAACTCGTTTGATTTTTGAGGTTTTCATCTGAAAATATTGTCACTATTTCAACATACTAAAATGCAAAACTATAATATAATGATATGACTAGATTAGAATTGTTGCGGTTTTGTTTTGTTTTGCTTTTCCAAAAATAACATTAATTGTTTGGGATGAAAGTACACCATCTTGACTATGTGCAATAATGAAACAGAATGGGCTATTCTTCATTTTTATTTCGCCCACCTGCAAAATAAAGCTTCAAATTCACAATAACCATAACTAAGTTTAGTATAATTTTAGACTTGAATATAGACTTTCGCGCGCTATGATTCGTCGAGAGACCAGTAATCGGAAGTAATTCCAGTTTCTTTGATATCCAAGTAAAAAAATTATACTAAAATAATTAGTCACCTCAGGCTCAGTGAATACGGTAAATATTCCCCGATATTCATTTCGCGTTCGGCGAATAATATAATTGTTTTAATGCTCTCTCAAGTATTCGTATTTCTGGTTGTATTCTTGTTTCTGGAAAAGTCTTCTCTTTGAATCATTTATGTGCATTTTATTTTTCTTCTTTTTTTCCTAGTCTCATTTGGAGTGAAATTTATATTTTTAGTTATTAATTATTATTATTATTTTAATTTAATTTTACTAATGTTTTTTGATTTAATTTTTTTTAATCCAGGATTTTAATTTTGCCTGAATCCTATTCTTTTTTACCTCGTATCTATTTCGTATTTTCCTATTGAATATTTTTCCTATATGTTTATTTATCTATTTATTGCATTTATTTATTAATTAGAATGGAGAAACTCCCTTATCGATGGCTATCAGTGCAGGGAATCTCCAGGCGATACGAGAGCTGTTTGCAGCTGGTCAAGTTGAACAACAATTGAAGGCAATAAAAGTAAGAAGATATACGTGATCTCGTGAATAAATCCCGTATCTTTTACACATTTAAAACATTGATAAACTATCACACTGATTAAAATGCTTGTGAAAATTCGAGCATCTTGTTCTTATTCTCGATGGTTGCAATCGTTTATTGGTTTTAGCCCAGAAAGCCACGGCTCTTGGCTGTGTCTCTGATTATTGATTTGCCCGTTCTCAATTTTCCCGCCAGTTTTCTGAACATGCGCAGTGGGAACTTTTTTCCGAGAGCTAACCAGATTCTTCCACGTTGACTTGCACTGCAATATTAAGATGGACTTGATATTCTAACCTTTAAAAATGGTTCTTTTTTTCCAGCCCAACGGTGATTCCATCATGCATTTGGCTGCGAGACGACGCGATACTGAGATTGCAAAATACCTGATTCAACATGGTGCAGAAATCGATCTACAAAATGTAAGCTGACATGACTTAGCTAGCAACACAGGCATAAACATAAAGTACTTATGTTTTTTTAAACGGATGATTAAGATTTTGTTTTGTTTTGTAGAATGAAGGCCAGACACCCATGCACATTTCTGCAGCTGAAGGAGACGAACACATGTTTAAAGTTCTATATACCATGAAAGGAAAGATAGACATACCTGACCATGTAAGCTAGAATTTTAACCTTATTCTTGTTCTCAAGAATTAAATCTGTTGTGTCCTCAATATTAGCCATTCCGAGGTTGAGGAAAACTGGGTCAAGTTGGCATTGCAGTGCATTGTGGGACTGTTTTTGGGGGACGAAATAGACGCCATCTTGGAAACATGTTCTTTAAACGGTCCCACATTGCACTACAATGCTCCTCGACCTCGACATGGCCAATAAATTATAAATTTACCTTTAATTCAGCTTTAGTGATCAATAGACCTCTGCGTTTGGTATAATGTTTTCTCATATTGGACCACATGTCATTCCCTAGAGTACAATCTTTTTTTTTAACGGTTGTGCATGTAGACACATAAATATGGATACGACTCAAACAAAGAATCTTATTCTCAAGAAAGTGAATGACACGTGTTCTGAAATGGGGAAAGCATTGTGCCAAAAGTAAAGAGGACTATTGCTGCAAACCTAGATACCTATCCGCTTTCCTTTCCTGCTATCCCCATCCCTTCAGACATAGGTCATAGATACTATTCCAATTTTCTTCATGGAGTTCATTGTAGAGAAGCTAATTCAGCCATTTTTCTTTTATATCTAGGAGGACCGCACCCCCCTGTATCTAGCCACCCAGGGAGGTTACACGGGAATCATAGAGTTCCTTGTTGACAAAGCTAAAGCCGATGTCCAAATAAGATCAAAGGTATGATGGTGATGATGATGATGATGATAATAATAATAATAATAACAACAACAACGACAACGACAAAAAAAAAAAAAAAAGATAACGATAATGATAATGATGACGATGACGATAACACAATTTATTCCGATTAAAAACTATGCCCTATGTATATTTTTTCCGTGCTTCGTAGGAATAAATAAATATTGAATTATTAAATGTTAAATGGATATGTTGGTTCACAGGATGGAAACACTCTATTACACTTATCCTGCTCTAACGGTCACGCGGACTCAACAATATTACTAATCAAGAAAGGAGTCCTTCCACAAATGCCAAACAAGGTAAACAATAAGAAAAGCCCGGTTTAGAAGGGTTAGTACCTGGACCTAAGGTTTGAACCTAATCAGACTTTTCAATTGGAAACACTTAATGAGAACTGTTTCATGAAAAGCTTTTGGTTTTGTTTGGAGTTTCTCCGGATTTGGCGGGAAAACTCGCACGCGCCTGTTCCCGAACTCTTTGACTCCCACCACCAGACAACTACTCACGTTTCTAACTTTCAATTTATAAAAAACTGTTATGGATTTCTAATTACAGGAAGGGTCACTGTGCATTCACAATGCAGCAAGAAATGGCCACGCAAATGTCGTTAAAGCTCTTCTCGAGAAAGGTGTTCCCGTTGATATAAAAAACAAAGTAAGTAACCGTGCGATCGAATACTTATATGTTGTCGGTCTGAGCTGAAAACTGGAGACCGATCGCGAGTAGCACGCTGGAAATTGTGATATATTCACAGCCAAAAACGTAGTTTCCTTTTAAATCAGAATATGAAGCATGACGTTTGAGTTAGGAATGTGATTTAGCGTATTTAGCCAGAAAAATAAAAGCACGAAAATTCCGTCTCATATTGCCCATCTTAGATCTCGGACCGTTTTTTAAAAATAGGTGTATAAATAGTGAAGGAAGAAGGTAGACTTGAAATGTGGTTCATCTAGATTGATGTGTTTCTTTTCGGTTTATTGTCGTGAAAGAATGCAAGAAGTGCCTCGTTAGCGCAGTAGGCAGCGCGTCAGTCTCATAATCTGAAGGTCGTGAGTTCGATCCTCACACGGGGCAGAGTTTTGTTAGAACACAAAAGAATTGACGGTTTTTTTCAAAGATTTTCAATCCTTTTTCGTTATGTCTCATCGATCCAGCTCTACAGATTCATACTTTTGATGAGGGCTTCATTGCCGTTAAATCATTGTTGTTATTCCTTTTTATAGAATAATTTGACTGCTCTTCACGAGGCAGTGATGAATAGAAGACACGCTGTTGTCCAGCTATTGCTAGGTTTTGGTGCAAACAAGGAAAGTGTTGGCGGAAGAGTAAGTGTTAATTAATTTGTATCCTTTATTTTTATTTTCATTTTTCCTTTGATATGTCTCATTCAAAGGGTATCTTATTTTCCCATCCTGCATATCTCGAAGATAGCGTCTATTTCGACCCCCAATGACACTCATGCGACCCACAATGAGACCCAGCTTTTTTTCTTATATACCTCGGAGTAGCTAACAAGCTAAACTACCCATTTTTTCCTTATATCTGATTTTTTTTTTTTCAATTRAATTTTCATTCCGTTTTAATTCTTACTCATGATCTTTTTTAGGACTGCGAATCACCGATACACATGGCAGCAAGAGTTAGAAATGGAGAACGAGTTGCCGACATATTGATCAGAAGTGGAGCCAATCCAGACACAAGAAATGAGGTTTGTCAAAACATTTGTGTTACGACTCTGAAACAACCTCTGGGGGGGCTGATCTAAGTCAGCGCATGGCTAGCTCACAGAACGAACCTTGAAACAACCTCAGAGGTGTGATCACAGTCAGGGCAAGGCTAGCTCACAGATCGAACCTTGAAACAACCCCAGAGGTGTGATCAAAGTCAGGGCAAGGGCAACTCGCAAATCGAATTGGAATTAAGGTTAAAAGGTTTTCCGAAGGAGGGAAAACTAGAGAACGCGGAGAAAATGCCTCGAATCAAAGGAGAGACCTAACAAACTCTACTCACTTGCGATGCCAATTCTGGGAATCAAACCCGAGACCCCAGAGGCGAGAGGCAAGCACATCAGTGACCCGTGCTACAACGCCATATTGATTTGTTTGATGTCCGTTCCCTTGATTAGATACATTTTTTAACTTACCTAAGTTTGTTTACCATCTAGAAAAATGGCGAGCGAGCATTACATGTTGCTGCGAGAAACGGAAATCTGAAGGTGGTTCGGCTACTGCTAAAGGAAGATGTGGAAGTAGCAAGACGATCAGCGGTATTTGATATAAACGTAGTTTATCTTTTGCGCTAAATGCTGTGACGTAAGCAATTGTCTTTACTATGCTAACCAGAGATTGATTCGTTGATGAAGCAAAGCAGCTTGGCAAAAATTATTGTGATGATGGTTGGAAAATACTCCAGTTTCGAGGTCTCTGTCGGTTGCTCAGGTTTAGCCTCGGTCCGCGAAATTACAATATTGACCTGAAGACTAGTGCCGATCTTGTATTCAGTTTTGAAAATTCCGAAATGCTTGCTTTGCTTATTTCAGAGTACACAAAATTTGTTCCTACATATTGCAGGTTTTGGGCCTTAGTGCAAAATGCCTGCTACAAAATGGATATTCTGCGCATATATTGCAGATTGCATTGCAAAATGCTCACTGCATATTGCTTATTATAAACCTAGATTTTGCGTATTGCGCGCTACGTATTCCAGATTAAATGCCAACCTTTTGGGATGTTGGAATCGTAATATATTTTAATGACCAGTCTGCTTTTTTCCCTTTCAGAATGGCGAGACCCCTCTTCACCAAGCATGTGCAAATGGTCATTATGAAATAGCCAAGAAAATAGTTGAGAAGCTCTTCAACGATAAGAGCTTTGCTTTTGCAAGACTCGTAGTCAATATTCCGAACGACGTAAGTGCGATTTGCTTAACGATAACTATGCGTGCCTATTAGCCATCCCGAGCCAAGGAGGGAAAACTGAATCGAGTTGTATAGGACTGCTTTTTTAGAGACACATTTCAAAGATGGCGTCCATCGACCCAGTTTTTTACCTAACCTGGGAAAGGCGAATTTTTAGGATTAGGATTTTTAGGTTATTTTTAAGAATAAAAAATAATCTATCACAGGAGGAGAGAGGGTAGGTCTCCCCAAAATCCTCCCCTAGGAAACATGAGTTATACCCCATAGCTGTCTCAAGCTTATCATTCTTTTTCTCAGAGAGGAGAAACTGCGCTGCACCATTTGGCTCAAAGAGTACGACGCAAAGAAAGTGTAGAAGATCTGATCAACATTGCGACACTTTTACTTGACCACGGCGCTAATATGACAATGAAGACTAGCGCGGTAAGAAAAAATACTCCTTGATAAAAAAAAATTATTACAAATGAAATACATGGAAAAATAATTTTTCAAATGCTGCTCAGTTAACGATTTTTTTTAATATAAAGAAATATTTCGGTCTTTCAGAAAAAAGAGACACCTCTCCACTGGATTGCGCGCTCCGGTAATTATGATGTCTTGAAAGCCATGTTGACATCTACCAAGGTTCCTTTGCATATAATCCAGTCAGGAATCAACAGCAAAACAGACGTGAGTAGATTATCATTTGAATCTGCGATTCAGTTGATGAGAACTTTGTGACACAAAGTGAAACCCAGCGACAGACAGAAGAAAATCATTCCTCTTTAATTTCAGATCGGGGCGTCTCCCCTGATGATCGCCTCTCACCATGGGAACCTCGAGGTGGTCAAGGTGCTGTTGAAACATGGAGCAAGAGTTGACGTGTTTGATGAGGTGCGTGACATCACTTACTGGCTAGGAATGCGTGACAATTGTTTGCTGTGTATATAACAATACGAACAGGACTAAGCATATCAATACTATTGTCTTTCTGTTTTGCAGACTGGTAGTACTGCTCTGCATCACGCCGCGACGTACGGTCACGAAGAAGTGGCATGTATTTTATTGGACCACAAGGCCTTCGTGAACGGTCGAACAAAGGTATATAAATATGTCTAATAACAAAGTCTCGCTATCCACATATTTCCATATACATATTCCGCGCATTAAAAACGTTTAAAAAGACTAAAGACCTCAATTGATAGGTTGCAAGCATTCCCAAGAGAGTCAAAACGCAAAAACATGGCGGCCATTGTGGTGCCCTTAACAATGGATACTAATGAGAAATATTTTGTTAAATGGCACCAACATGGCCGCGATAACGTAACGTGCAATCGAAGATTATACTATGTAGACTATACGAAATAGAATGACTAGAAGTTTTTTGGGTAAAATATTTCGGACGATATCCATCGTCCATTATCAGTTTAATGACTCACTATAAGTGTATTAAAGTGAAATACTATAAAGCCTTAGGCACTAATACGTATTACAATAAAGTACTGTAAACCCTATGGACTAATATGCATACAAAGGTATTGTTCAATGTATTAGATAATAATTTCTATTAAATATGAAGAATATTAATATATATTATATTTTTCATTCAAAAACACCGAAAATGAGTTTAACAAGCATTTGACGTGCATGCCTTGCTTCGTTGTAGCTCGGTGTCACACCACTTCACCTCGCTGCTGAAAAAGGTTGCGTAGGACTGGTGAAGATCCTAGTCAGCAAATACAAAGCTGTGGTCGATCCTGCGACAATGGTAAGAAAAACCACTTGGATTGTCAAATGCATCTTCATCGGAGGCTCTGTATTTTTTCTTCATTCCTTTACCTCCATTTCTTCCTTCATCTTTCAACCCTTCAATCCTTGGTTCCTTGGTTCCTTTGTTCCTTTGTTCCTTGGTTCCTTGGTTCCTTGGTTCCTTGGTT